AGATTACAAGGTTTCAGGGTTACAGAAAGGCTCCATTAGCCTGAGTTCTATCCTCACAAAATGCTGGGTATGGTGGGTGCATTTGTCTGACCAGCACTGGGAGGTGGACAGGATGAGCCCTGGCCTGCTGACTTTATTGGTGAGCTCAGGGCAGTGAAGGACCTATCTCAAAGAGCTGGATGCTGTTCCTGAGGATGATGTCCAAGCTTGTCTTCTGGCTGCCACGTGTGTGTGCACATGGATGCACACTTGCACACATATGCGCCTGCACATCCGTGACAATGCACACACATAAAATTTTTATTTCCCTTCCCTATAGGCTGTCACACTACAGGAGTCACAGGTAATGAAACAACTGTGGGGAATTAAACTATCTCTCCCAACTTCCTACTAAACAAGCCTGCACTTGCTAAACTTGCTGTTGGACACGGTTTGAGAAAGGCTTCTGTTCTCCAGCCTGTTCTAGCTGTCAGGCTCTAATAGCACCTTCTCTACATGAGGCTTAGCTTTCCTACCGGCACTGAGGCAGTTGTGCCGTTATTGATAGAAGTTTTTCTCAGTTCTTGTCTTATTGAAGGAAATAATTCAGCCTAAGACAAGCCACAGTGCAAATGCTCTTCTAGTGAAGCTGGGGTCTTTGGCAGGCGCAGGCCCTTCACTAGTGCACAGATGAATCGGTTTGGAAACTGTCCTGGCACCCGAGTTACTGCTGTAGCAGGATGAAGGGCCACAAGATATTAACCACGAAGGGATGTTTTGAGCATCAGGAGCTTTCACTACCAAGAAATACACCTGCAACTTCCTTGGTTACCTCATATCTAACTCCTTGTGTTCCTGTCTTAGTGTTAGGGATTGTTTGGGAACCGTGTCCTAAAGTCACATAATTTAGACAGTAGATGTTATTTTCTTATTGATGTCCCCACGTTAGGAACATTGCTTGTGCCCAAAACAGCTGGTATTGCCCTGCTTTTCCACTTTCTGTATGACTATAAAGCCAGTTGCTTTAATATTCCTTCTCTCTCTGTCTTAAAAAATGCCGTGTCTGCAGCACACCGATACGTGCTCAGATCACTGGTCTTCATTTCAGAGGCAGAGGCAACCAGATCTCTGTGCGTTCAAGGCCAGCCCGCCCTGTGTATCAAGTTCCAGGGCAGTCAGGGCTACATTGAGAGACCTGTACTGGTCTTTTTCTGTTGTAAAGTTTGGGATATGTATTGATTGGTGTATCTCCATATCTCCAAGCTGCCCTTCTATGAATCAGGATTTAAAACCAGAAATAAGCCTTTACGTGCATGGTTCATCATTTTAAAGTGAACAGAAAGTTTATTATCGGGGCTGGAGAGATGGCAGCGCAGTTAATGGTACTTTTAGAGGCTCAGATTCAGTCCCCAGCACCCAGATGGTGGTTCACAACTATCTGTAACTCCTGCCTCGAAGATCCAGTGCCCTCTTCTGTCCTTCTTCAATACCAGGCATAAATGTGCACGTGCCTTCGTGGAAGCGAACACTCATGTACACACAATAAATCTGGAAAAAAAAGGAAAAGAGAAAAGAAAGCTTATAATTTATTCTCTTATTTCCTTGTTTTTGTTTTTTAAAGACAGGGTCACACTGTGTAACTCAGGCTGGCCTGAAATTCACTACATTCTCCAGGCTAGTCTAGAACACACCACAGCCTCTCAGGTATTGGCTTATAGGCATGAGACTAACAGATTTGTTTATTAAGAATTTTAGCATCTCTGTTTACCAAGAAAAATCACTTGTTCAACGTATTAGTTTTCTCACATACTATTAGGGGAATTGTAACTAGAGTCAGGTTCTGCCCTGTGGAGCTTAAGACTTATATATAATTAAAATTGATTTTTCCTTTGCCCTGGAGACCACGTGTCATTTTAAAATTTCAGTTTCTTGCCTGCTTAGCATGCGTTTGCTGTGTTACAGTGGCAACAACACAGCAGCCCTGCTTCGCTTTGTCTAATATGAACTTGGATAAGGTAAAGAATTCAAAACTTCTTTTTGCCTTAGAGTTCATTTTATTTTACTTTTTTTTATTTTTTTATCTTTCAATCTTATAGTAGCAAGAGGTTTTTTTCCTTAAGTTAAACTCAAAATATACTTTGATGGGGGGGGGGGACAGTGTCTCATATAGCTCAGGCTGGCCTCAGATTTTCTATGTAGCAGAGGGTGACCTTGAACTTCTTGTCCTCCTGCCTCAGTCTCCCAAATGCTGTGATTAAAGGTTGTGTGCCTTTATGCCCATTGTTGTATTTTTTTATTTTCTTAAGAAAAAAAATTGTCTCCAGGTGGTGGTGGTACACATCTTTTTAATCCCAGAACTTGAGAGGCTGAGTCAGGCAGATCTCTGAGTTCAAGGCCAGCCTGGTCTACAGAGCAAGTTCCAGGACAGCTAGGGCTACACAGAGAAACCCAATCTTGCTACCCCTCCAGAGTATTGAAATTACGGGTGTACACTACCACTCCACTTTTGCTTGGTTTTTGAGACAGGGTCTCACTGTGTAGCCAGAAACTCACATAGACCTGCCCACCTTTGCCTCACAAATTCTAAGATTAAAGGCGAGTACCACCGAGCTCATATGGATTTACTTTTAAAGCCATGCCCTAAAAAGTTGTCGGTTAACAATTACAGACGTGCATGCTTGTGAAAGATAGGAGGACGACTTGTGAGTATCAGTTTTCTTTTTCACCGTGTGGACTCTGGAACTTGAACTCTGACTGTCAGATTGGCAATAAGCACCCTTACCTACTGATCCACCTGATCAGCCCCACTTAATTTTCTTGTATTTAATCAGTGTTAGTCTTTATTTTATCTGCTGATCTCTGCCAAAATTTATGTTGATAGCCTCTGTATATACTGTATACAATAAGAATAATTATGAAAATTATCAGGTAAAAATTATATTTATAATGTCATGTCCATTCATATTTGGCATCCTTGGAAAAAGTATTCCATTATCTATTTAACTCTGGTGAATCCAGAGTTCATTATTTTTTAATCTATCAACCTGAAAACATCGTTCTAGACCTTAAAACATCTTTTTAGACCTAAAACATATAGTTCCTAAACAACTGAACTTAATTATAATAAGACTATGACTATCTAGTCTTCAACCCCATCAGAGCCCTTTGAAGGAAATAATATTACCTAAGTATGTAGGAAGCACAGAGCAAACAGCTTCCAGAACTGTAGAAATGACAGAGACAGTTGACTGCCTGGACAGTCTCCAGAGGTTTCTCGTGCTGTTGGGCATCCATTCTTCAGCCTCCTGGCCCAAAATACCTGAGAGGCTTTTCTGTGAAGCAGGAATTTTGAAGGACTGACCACTTAGTCTCTGCAAAGTTGGACAGTCAATTTTCCAGTGTCCTGCTTGCTCACGTTTGTTCAGCCTGCCATCAGCAGTTGAAGGTCAGTTTTTTCTCCAGGGGCTGTCTTGTCATACTTGTTTCTTTGATGCCCACCATCTTCTTTGAAATATATTAGAGGTGCTGCCAGGGCCAGATGTGGCTCTCTGTCAGAAAAGCCTTTTATTATTAAAACATCTTAAATGCCATAGTCTATAGATCTCTGAAGTGTTTGAAGATTATTTGTCTGTCTGTCTGTCTGTCTGTCTGTAGAGCAACATTGCATGTTTCTAGCTATGTACTATCTACTTAACCGTGAAAACATATACACGAGACTAAATAAAGCTTATTTCTGTAATTACTTAAACTATTATCTAACAAGACTACAAGTAAGATTATTTATAGATGACTGCTAATTTGTATCTCCATTCATCCTGAACAGTGTACAATTGTTAGCTTTAATAAAACTAGAGCTTTACGTCACATTTTCAAGTAAGTTGCATATGTACAATACATTAAGCAAAAGTCAAACAAAACAATCTAAATCCTATCAGTATATAATAATCCATACCAATACTTACTATTTGACGCTAGTAGATTCAGTAATTTACTTTTCATCCTGTCGTCCTGTGCACATACCTGTAACTCCAGCACTCAGGTGGCAGAGGCAGGAGGATCCTAAGTTCAGGGCCAACTTAGAGTACAGTGAGGCCGGCCTGAGCTACATAGAAAAACCTTGTTTCAAAAAAGAAAAATCAAGGAAAAAATATATATATTATTTGAGATGGTCTTACTGTGTAATCCTAGCTAGCTCAAAACTTCCTGTGTAGACCAGGCTACAGAACTCACAGAAATCTGACTGTATCTACCGTCACGGTGCTAAGGTTAAGGAGTGTGCCACCGAAAACTATAAATAAACAAAGATTTTAAAATGTAGATCCTCGTTCTCACCACAGTTGCCAGGTAACTGTTCACTTCTCTTGGCTTACAGAACGGGACTTAAAAATATCAGTACTCCAGTCTCCTCATGACTATTCGTGTCAAGATGTCCTGTGAGGGAAAGCACTGAGAGACAGGAAAACACTGGATAACTATGCAGTTGCCGTCTAAATGCAGCCTTTTTTAGATTTCATTTTGGAACTGGGCGGGGGGGGGGGGGGGGGGGGGGGTTTTTTTGGGGGGATGGTTTTGGGGGGGGGGGGGGGGGGGGGGGCGGGGATCGTTTTTATGGGAGGAATATTTTCAGTTACTAAAATAACTTGAACTCACCTCAGCATGTTTACAGTGAAGTCTTTGTCTAGTTTCTGGTCTAGTTCTTTTTAGATCTGTTTGATGTGAGACGGGGTCTTCTCCGCCTCAGGCTGCCCTAAATTCCTTGTGTAACTAAGGATGAACTTGAACTTTCTGCTCCTCCTGCCTCTGCTTCTCAGGGTTGAGCGACAGACCTAGTTTATACCGTGCTGAGGATCCAACCTGAGGCAAGGCCCGTGGCAGAGCAGACCAGCCCTGCCCGCATCCCCAGTCCCTAGACTCTCCGGCAGTGTAGACGAGCACTCTCTCAGGCAGTGTAGACGAGCACTCCACCAGCTGAACTGCATCCGTAGCCCTAACTCCTCTTTCCTCTGGCTTTGCCTTTCCAGGAACTGAAGAGATTTGAGAGCTTTGTGAATGCCTGCCCTCCTTTTGATGTTGTTATTGACGGCCTCAATGTTGCAAAAATGTTTCCTAAGGGCCGGGAATCTCAAATTGTAAGTATGGTTTACTTTTATCACTCACTCCTGTAGAAATAGTTCTTATAATCTACCAGCTGCCCTTTCTGCATGGCTTTCTCCTGGCTTCTCTTTTCTCTTGGCCTCTTACTTTCTCTTTGTCATCACTGTTTTCCTGTGGCTCACATCTCTCTAATTTGAAAATTAATACACCAAGATATAATATTGAGATACTAGTCACTGTTTCTTGTTTTTTCCACATGTGATACATTTGTAAATTAACCTATGCAGTTGTTTTCTTGATAGGTAACCATTTGTTTTTGGTTTTGTTTTATCAATTTGTAAATGTGCTAGCAGTTTCAAATAAGACTGCTATGGGTTTTTCAGTCTTTTCTTTCTGAGACAGTCTCTCTTTGTTTCTTAACCATGTCTGCGAAGCCTTTACTTGGAGGTGCTGCTCTCCCAGTTTAGTCGTTTATACTTTAAAAAGCTCATAGGCACAAGCAAAGGCTACTTCAATTTACAGCCATCTCCTAGAATGCACAAAGGCCTGGATGCCCTCTCCAGTACCTCCTAAACCAGGCATAGTGGCACACACCTGTAATCCTGGCACTTAAGAAGTAGAGGCAGGATGGTCAGAAGTTCATGGTGATCTTGGTTGCACAGCAAGTTCAAGGCTATCCTGGGCTGTTTCCTAGTCTGTAGAAAGAATAGAATGGTTCCTGTCTCTAAAGCTGTTGTGAAGACTTAATGACTGTAAATTCAAGCACTTGGTACATGCCCTTCACAAGTGTAGCTCTGCTTGTAATTAATATTCATGTGACTTCCAAGTGGAATAACAATTCTTGTTTGTCTGTAGGCCTTTATCTGATGCTTAAGTTTTTTTTTTTTTTTTTTTTTTTTTTTTTTTTTTTTTTTTTTTTTTTTCCTGTCATTCATGAGAATGGAAAATGCTAAATTCTAGGCCAGGCATGGTAGGGAGTGCATGCCTTTAATCCCAGCACTCAGGAGGCTGAGACAGGTGGATATCTGAATTTGAGGCCATCCTGGTCTGCTGTGTAAAGAAACCCTGTCTGAGAGAGAGAGAGAGAGAGAGAGAAAATACTATGTTCTGCCTTAATATAAGAACCCGTCTAGGCCAGACTGGGAATTGAAGTCAGTACTGGATCATGAGCCAGACTAATGAGTTACTGCAGTGAACATTTGCCAGTAAAGAGGTGAGGGCAAAAGGGTAAATTGTGGGGCGCACTGTGACACACTACAGCTTCCACAATGAGATGGGGTTCTTTGTTTTGTTCTTATATTTTATTTTCTTTGGGGGGAGGTTGCAAGGGCAGCGGGCAAATATGAATCTACGGGAAGGGACGGGATTGGAATGCATGATGTGAAATTAACAAAGAATCAATGCAAAGCTAAAAAATAAAAAAATACATTTAAAAATAAAAACGACAATAAAAAGCCTTTCTCGCCGCCTGGCACACGTCGTGAGCACGGGGTGGTGGCTATTATTGCTTTGTTATTGTTCCGCTGTAGCTCCCGTTGTCATCAGTAGAGTTAGTCGTGGTAATTGTGTCTTCTGCATCCCTTTCACCACTGCGTTCTCTTTCCTGAGACCACACCAGGGTCGGGTCAGACTGAGAAGCTGTTTGAAGGAAAAAAAAATGAAGTCAGTGCTATTAAAAACACAAGGCAAAGGGGCTGGAGAGATGGCTCAGTGGTTAGGAGCACTGGCTGCTCTTCCAGAGGTCCTGAGTTCAATTCCCAGCAACCACATGGTGGCTTATAACAATCTATAATGAGATCTGGTGCCCCCTTCTGGCCTGCAGGTGTACATGCAGATAGAACACTCATACATTAAATAACTGACTGACTAACTAAATAAGTCTATTTTAAAAAGCACAAGACAAAATAAAATAGTCAAGAAGCTGTGTTTTAGGGCTGGGACTAAGCTGGAAAGAACTTACCTCGCATGTGTGAGGCCCGGATTTCTGTCCCAGCTCCACAAAAGAAAACTCAAGCAGACATAACTTAAGTTGGTGTGATGCTGTGTGCCTGTAAGCCCAGATTTCAGGAGGCAGAGGCAGATCTCAAGCTGGAGGACAGCTTGGGTACATAGTGAGTTACAGGTCATCCTGAGTTACTGAATGATACACTATTGTTAAGCATAGTAGAATTATCTCCATTTTTTTCTTGTTTTTTGTTTGTTTTTTGAGACAGGGTTCCTCTTTGTAACTTTGGCTGTCCTGGACTCACTTTGTACACCAGGATGACCTCAAACTCACAGTGATACACCTGCCTCAAACTCCCAGAGTGCTAGGATTACAGATACGTGCTACCACGCCTGGCATTTCTCCAATTTTTATTTTGTTTTGTTTTATAGACAAGAGTCTCAAGTAGACTGGGCTGGCCTTGAACTCACTAGGTATCCCAACAGTGACCTTGAACTTCTGACCATCCTGCCTCTACCTCCATACTTTTCCATCACTGGTTAATTATGTACCTGATATGCTCAGTAAGCTTGCTATTGAGACAAGAAGCTGGCATTTGTTGTTTAGGGAGGAATGTGATCACTTAGCTTGATCCTAGAGCTTACATCTTAAGGGTTGCAGAAATTAAGGAAGTAAGGAAACAAGCCTGGGGGCTGGAGAGATGGTTCACTGGTTAAGAGCATATGCTGCTCTTACAAGGGTCCCAGGTTCTGTCAGGTGGCCCTCAACTGCCTGTCATGGCAGCTCCAGAGGATCCAGCAGCTCTGGCCTCCTTGGACACCTGCACTCATGTGCATGTAACACACAGACATACACACATAGTTAAAAATAAAATAGCGGGAGGCTGGAGAAATGGCTTGGCAGTTAAGGTCACTGACTGCTCTTCCAGAGGACCGGGGTTCAAATCCCAGCACCCACACAGCAGCTCACAACTGTGTGTAACTCTAACATAGATACACATGCAGGCAAAACACCAATGCACATAAAATAAAGGTAAATAAAATTTAAAAATAATAAAATAGCAGAGCTAGACAGTGATGGCACACACCTTTAATCCTAGCACTTGGGAGGCAGAGACAGGTGGGTCTGAGTTTGAGGCCAGCCTGGTCTATAGAGCAAGTTCCAGGACAGCCAGAGTGGGTACACAGAGAAACTCTGTCTCAAAAAAGTCAAAAAATAAAATAAAATTAGCATATCATGATGGTACTCAGCGTTAATCCCAGCATTCAGGAGGGAGAGGCAGGTGGAGCTCTGTTACTTGGAGGCCAGCCAGGGCTACATAGTGAGATCTGTCTCTAAAAAGACAAATTTGTGGATTTATTTTCTTAGCTTTCAGATGTCTCTTGTATGTGTGCTTTGCATTTTGACTTATTTTCCATGTGTGTACATCTGCCTGTCTCTGTGTTCACGAGGTCAGAGAACAACTTGCCAGAATCAGTTTCCTTCTGTCAGCATGTGGATCTTGAAGCAGAGCTCAGGTCATCAGCATTGGCACCAGGTCCCTCTACCCACTGAGCCACCTCATGACTGTTCTTTCCATGTTTTAACTTTCTCAAATCTCAGCACTCAGAAGCCTGAGGCAGGAGAATTATAGTTGGAGGCCAGGCTGGACTACACAGTGAGTTTTAGGCTAACCAGGACTACATAGTAAGACTCAATCCAGAAGGGGAGTGGGGAAGTGGAGAGATGGCTTGGTAGTTAAGAGCACTGGCTGCTTTTGCAGAGGACCTGGTTTAGTTCCCAGCACCCACACGGCAGCTCCCTGCTATTTCTAACTCCGGGTCTAGAGGCTCTGGTGCCCTCCCCTGGCTCCTAAGGGTAATCGGCGTTCCTGTAGGGCACACGCATGATGCAGGTGAACACTCATACGTGTTTTTACAAGAAAGAGGCACTGCACGGATAATGATAAATAGAAAGTACGTTCTTTTCATGGCGTTAGAAGGACGTGAATATATATTTGGGACCACGATTCTCCCAATTACTCAGACCCCCAAATCATTCCAGGCTTAATCATTATCTTTCTCTGCCAGTGTTGTGGTGCATACTTGTTATTCCAGGACTCTGAAGGATAAGGCAGGAGGATTACTACAAGTTTGCAGTTAACCTAGGCTATAGAATGAGACCTTGTTTCAGAAAATAAAAGAACAAACCAACAAAATTCCTTCTTTTCACTAGCTGCATATCCAGTTAACTGATATGAAACTTCATTCCAAAACTCCCCCCCTCATATTCTGATTGCTTCTTTCCATTGCCAGTAACATTGCATTCCATCAAAACACCTTGCTTCTCCCCTCTAAATAACTCTCTACTGTATATATAATGGTGTCTAAGTTCCTTGTTATGGACGATGGACCCTTTTGTCATGGACTGTTTACCTCTCTACAACCATCTCTGACATTTCCCCTTTGTCTTTCATTCAGCCAATTGGTTTGCTAGAATTCTTCTTGTTCCTTTGGTATTCTGCACCTGCTCCTGCCTGGACATCTTTGCACTTGCTATTCCTTTAACCCTTGCTGCTGGATCACTGTCAGCACCTCAGGAGGCCTCCTTAATTCTGGAAAGGCACTGGCTCTGCCTACGCATGTCTGCACTTTCAGTTAATCAACCCTGTTCACATCTCTGGTGGATTAAAAGTGACCCATAGGTGGTGTATGCCTGCCGTTTCAGCAGTCAGGAGGTGGGTGTGGGAAGGTCATGAGTTCCAGGCTAATCTAGGGCGCACAGGAAGACTTTCAGCAACTTGCAGACAGATTCTGAACCCGAGAATGAGCTCGGCCAATATGCCGTGCTCTACCAGAAAACTGTCCAGAACTCAGCCTCAAGTGAGAAGATGAACAGTTTTTAACCCCGGTTTTGGGTGGTTAGTTGTGTAGCAGTAGGTAACTTGTAGTTTCCTCTCGGTTGCTGTGATAAAACATTAAAAAAACAAGCTGGGAGGAGTGGGCTCCTCTCACCTTACAGGGAAGTCAGGGCAGGGCCTGAAGCAGAACCACGGAGGCACACTGCTTCCCGGCCTGTTCCCTATGGCTGGCATGCACAGCCTGTTTTCTT